GGAGAGATCATGCATGAGGATGAGATGGAATGTAAGCCTTTCCACCACTGACTCCATTGAGGCAGAAGCAGGAAGGCAGTGAGATCCTCACATTCCACCCTTACTTACGCCTGATTAAACGGTCCCACCACTAGGCCCAGCGCAGGAGAGGACATTAAGTTCTATCCAAAGAAACCAAACTAACTACAGTTGTTTCACAAGAACAGGACAATAATGAATCTGGAAACAGGAAACAGATCTAACAGATAAACTAGTGGGGCCTATAAAGGAAACATGTGACATTGGCAGGAAAGAGGTGTGGATACTGGTATAAACTGAATAATGTGACTAAAATTATCCAGCACTGAGCTAAAAGAAATTATGGGGCAGTCAGGACTTGAGGTCAAGTGTCTCAAAATCAGAAATATAGAAGTTCAATTAAGATTGTTAATATTATAAACGTGAATTTCAAAATTTGATTGCAGCCATCAACATATCTTGGAACCATGTTGCATGGTTAACCTAAACACATTCATTCCAATGAAGACAGCACACAAGCTTTGTGCTGTCTGCTCATTGTAAATATTTGTAGTGTGCTGCTAGTGCTAAGCACACCGAGAGCAGGATGTATAAAAACAGGAGAAGTAGCACATGTTCAATCTAGCCCTTTAAAAGAGAGAATGCATTCTGGCAGCACTAGTTGCTGTAAGTCATTCTAGAAGTCATTTTTGATTTAGATATGACACATTTTGACAGACAGCAGGCTCCAAAATTGTCTCACACAATAATGGTGATTTTGGTGTAGGAAGTAAAGAAGGGAGAGATGTTCCCTATCCACAGGAACTGGGTAGCAGCCCCCAGCAAGCTCAGAAAAGGCAGTGACAGTAGATTGCTGTCCAAGTCAATGCCTGCATTGTAGTCCGTTGGACCAGGATATAGTATCAGAAGTTGTTCAATGATCTAACATGAATGATTACAGCCACTAAATGCATGTTCTAATCCCATCAGCTGCACTTTACCATCAACTTCCCACACTACTCAGTATACTTCCTGACAAAAATCACTGATCAATCAATTTCGTTCCATTAGGATACATACTTCATTATTAGCTTCACCCCACTTTTATGCACTCTATGCTGTTACACACCTTAAACCTAGGCCTCACAACCAGGACACATTGCAAGCTAGTCAAGTGTGACCCTCACATCACCCAAACATATTGTATCATACTCTCTATCGAGCAGCACAAGGTGACTCACAAATGTAGGCAGTAGCAAGCACTGGGGCTGGATACAATGAAGATGATGATGTACTCCTACCTAATCTTCCTCATCTCTTCTGAAACACAAGTGGCACACACCACTTGTTTTCCTTCCCTCTCCTCACCACTACCCCACTCATGCTTATAATATTAACAATCTTTCTTGAAGTTCTACATCTCGACCCTATATCTAACTTTGAGGCTGTTGTACATTTAACAGCAGCACATTTAACTTCAAGTCCTGACTGGCCCATAATTTCCTTTATCTTTGTGCTAGCCTATAAGAGTCACATTATTCAGTTGAGACTAGCATCCACACATCTTCCTGCCAATGCCACATCTCTCTTTATACGGCCCAATAGTTTTGCTTATTTGAACTGTCTTCTGTCTCTAGATTCATTAGCTTCCTGTCTTTGTGAAAGAGCTCTACACATTGTTAGTTTGGATTCTTTTTACCTTCCTTGTACCTTTCTCCTTTCAGATACACATGAACTACCAACTGGCTAGACAGTGATGCTGGAATGGGAATGCAAGAAGACATTCATGATGGTGTACCACCTTCACTTGATCTCATGTTCATATCCAGCAGGTCTGATATTCACACAGTGTCTACTTTAGAGGGTAACTGGGATCTGAAACTGGTGAGTGGGCAATAGCCAGTGCAAGGGGAGAGGTACAGTGGAGGCGCCAGCTTGCCAACCTTGTAAGGTTGCACACAGTGTTGGTTGCCCCCTTTTTTTCCTCTTCCTCTCCTCAGTTGCGTATTGTATATTTGGTGACAAGAGCAGAACAAGAGCAGAGATTGTGCACAATGCAGCAGATCACAATGAATCGTGGCACATTCTCTGGAGAGCACAACAGGATTCTTGCAAAATGCTGCAGACAACAGAATCATAGGTTAATTGTTGAGATGTTCTGCTCAATGACATTCCACTTGGCAGCATAGCATTTACACATGTGCTGCACGATGGATGTCAGTAAATAGCCCTTTTTGCTCAGTAGCTAGCCAGGATCTTCCTTGTTATTCAATTGTCATTGGTACTGCAGGCTGGTTCCAAATAAAGACATAATGATTGCTGCCTGTACAGCATGAGTTGACCCATGTACTGTATGTGGTCGCACACCAGCTGCAGTGGTGCAGTCAATGGCACCCTGTAGCATGGAAAAGGTTTTTACCCTGCCTAAATACAAATCTAGTTTCAACAAGTGGGAGGACAATGTGCTAAAGCATGCCACCAATACTACTTCTTTCATCCTGCCGTCATTCATAAAGAATTGTAATTTAAGCACAGCCTGATTTTCAGAAACAACCTAGAGAGGCCTGTGCTCCAATCAGGAATTAACGCACACTCCCATTTAATATCCAGAATGTCAAAGTGCTCAAACAGTTAAACCAACTTTGAGTAAAGATAAAAATTGCCCATGGGCTGCAAAATAATGTCTGCCATGAACACATTTTAATTCTGGCTTGACAGTAATTTGGAAGTATACCATCCTGATAAATCCTCTTCTTTCGTTCAAAATAATGCCAAGGTACCTTGCACATCCACCTGAGCAAGCTGATGGCATCTTGGTTTAATGTTTCATCCAAAGAACAGTACATCCTCCATTGTAGTACTCCCTCAGTACTGGAATACGAGTCCTGACTTTGTGCTCAAGCCCTGGGACTTGAACATAGGAGCTATTGTTCAGGGGCGAACACATTACGAAACGAGCCACAGCAAGTAGATGAAGAATAAATGAATGAAGAATATAGGGTTGAAGCATAAGAACATAAGAACCAGGAGCAGCAGCAGGCCATCTGGCCCTTCGAGCCTGCTCCGTCATTCAATAAGATCATGGCTGATCTTTTCGTGGCCTCAGTTCCACTTATCCACCCTCTCACCATAATCCTTAATACTTTACTGCTCAAAAAGTTATCTGTCTTAGCTTTAAAAACATTCAATGAGAAAGCCTGAATTACTTCACTGGGCAGGGAATTCCACAGATTCACAACCCTTTAGTTGAACAAATTCCTCAATTCAGTCTGAAATCTGCTCCTCCTAATTTTGAGGCTGTGCCCTCTTGTTCTAGTTTCACCCACCAGTGGAAACATCCTCCCTGCTTCTATCTTATCTATTCCCTTCATAATTTTATATGTTTCTTTAAGATCCCCCCTCATTCTTTTAAATTCCAATGAATATAATCTCAATCTACTCAGTCTCTAAAGTACAAGACTGCTTCTGACAAGATTCATAGAATGGTTGCAATACAAATGGAAGCCAGATTTATTTACTTTGAAACTTTTTTATATATCCTTTATATGCAATAATATATAAAACTTGGGACACCATCATCACATGGCTGTCATGCCAGTCTGAAATAAGCTTCCAACAACCCTTTTGACTCCAGGTGGAACTTGATCCGAGCTGCGGTGAGCAGTGATATGGGGGGGAATTAATTCTATTTTGTATGATTATTAACTATTCACTACATTATTGATAATTACTAGTAATTAGTTAATTTATTAATTTAACATTCAAATAAATTCAAAATCAATCTCCAATTCGACATCTTGCTGTTTGCTGTTGCTGGTTTGGTCTGTTTGGATTTATATGTATTTAAGCAACATTTAGAAGATAGATAACTAAAAATATAATAATTTCCATTTTAACTCTGCAAAAGCAATTCAGCTAGTCCACTCCTTGGTTGTGTCCCTGTAGCCCTGAAATTTTTGTCTCTTCAGGTATTTATCCAATTCCCTCTGGGAAGTCACGATTTAATCTGCCTTCACCAGACTATCAGGTGATGAATTCCAGATCTTGACCACTTGCTACATGAAAATTATTTTCTTCATATTGCCACAGGTTCCTTCGCAGATACATTGTACATTGTGTTTTCAATTCTTTGAGCTTCCTCTAATGAGGACAGTTAGTAGTCTCATATTATTTCTCTAATCAATCCGGTCAGGCTTATGTCATACATTTCACTGATATCTCAGTGCTACTGAGAAATGGCAAACAGTTTGTAAAGACATCAAAGCCAAGTTATAAACATACCCTGAAAGTTTACGAAATGCTTATTCCGGCATCTTGATAGTGAAGATAGACAACTGCTCCTCCTCCAAGATAACACTCCACACTGGAGCCCCCCAAGGATGCGTTCTCAGCTCCCTACTGTACATCCTGTAGACCCACGACTGTAATGCCAAATTCCAAACGAATGCCATCTACAAGTTTGCTGACAACACCACCGTGGTAGGACAGATATCAAACAACAATGAGTCAGAATACAGAAAGGAGATAGAGGGCTTGGTGTCATGGTGCAATAATAACAATCTCTCTCTCAATGACGGCAAAACAAAAGAATTGATCATTGACTTCAGAAAGATGAGAGAACATATCCCCATCTACATCAACAGTGCAGAGGTTGAGAGCATCAAGTTCCTAGCAGTGACTTCCCATGTAGAAGCAACAGTCAAGAAGGCATAACAATGTGTCTTTTTCCTCAGCCAGCTCAGGAAATTTCACATGTCCACAAAGTCCATCACCAACTTCTACAGGTGCACCATTGAAAGCATATTGTCCAGGTGCATAACGGCCTGGTATGGCAACTGTTCTGCCCAGGACCCTAAGAAACTACAGAAGGTTGTGTACATAGTCCAGAACATCATGGAAGCCAACCGCCCATCCATGGACTCCATTTACATGGCTCGTTGCCACAGAAAGGCTGCCAACATCAACAACCCATCGCACCCTGGCAATACTCTCCTATAACCTTTCATCAGGCAGAGGATAGAGAAGCTTGAACTTACACACCAGTAGGTTCAATGACAGATTCTTCCCTGCCGTTATTAGATTGATGAATGGAGACTCTAATTTCAAATAATGCTGATATTGCTAAATGTTGATCTTAGCTAGCACACGCCTTGTGTGATGTAATTTGTATGCCTCTGTCTAGTCTTTTTTCACCTTATGATCTGCATGTCCTTGCTTACTATGATCTGCCTGTACTGCTCGAAAATAAAGCTTTTCACTGTACTCAGGTACATGTGACAATAAATCAAATCAAATCAAATCTTATTTGTAATTCAAGCTATTTCTGTAGCGCTATAAATACAGCAGATGCTGGGAATACTATCTCAGTACAGATAGCTAAGGAATTGGCTCTGGAGGGTGGCAAAGTGGCTCAGTGGTTCACACTGCTGCCTCACAGCACCGGAGACCTGGGTTTGATTCCAGTCTCAGGTGACTGTCTGTGTGGAGTTTTTCCATGTCTGCGTGGGTTTCCTCCAGGTGCTTCAGTTTTTGCCCACAGTCCAAAGGTGAATTGGCCTTGCTAAATTGCCAGGGATGTGCAGGCTAGGTGGATTAGCTATGGTAAATGTGGGGTTATGGGGATAAGTTAGGGGGTTGGGTCTGGATGGAATGTGAGGATGGGTGTGGACCCAACAGGCCTGCTTCCACACTGTGGGGATTGCATGATTCTCTGATCTCTTCAAGGAAGGCATATATGCCAATAGAAGCTGGAGATCTGCTTCAAATTTCAAAGGAGAAAAGGCAATGGATTGTAATAATGCTGAGATTTTTGTTAGAAAATATCCAACAAGCTTAAAATAAATTAAAGTCTCATCTTGTGCATTTCCACTGAGTTTTTCCCATTTGTCCAACATAACTTAAGCAGAAACACTGAAATTCTGGAAAAACAGTAGAAATTAGCCAGGCTTCTAGAACAACTTTAAATGAATACTTACTGCTATCAAACAGCACTGTTCTAGTTGAATCAGAGATAGTAGGAACTGCAGATGCTGGAGAATCCGAGACAACAAGGTGCAGGGCTGGATGAACACAGCAGGCCGAGCAGCATCATAGGAGCAGAAAGGCTGACGTTTCGGGCCTAGACCCTTCATCAGAAAAGGGGGAGGGGAAGGGGGTTCTGAAATAAATAGGTAGAGAGTGGGAGGCGGATAGAAGATGGATAGAGGAGAGGATAGGTGGAGAGGAAACAAACAGGTCGGAGAGGCGGGCCAGTAAAGGTGAGTGTAGGTGGGGAGTTAGGGAGGGGACAGGTCAGTCCAGGGAGGACGGACAGGTCAAGGGGGCGGGATGAGGTTAGTCGGTAGGAGATGGGGGTGCGGCTTGAGGTGGGAGGAGGGGATAGGTGGGAGGAAGAACAGGTTAGGGAGGCGGGGACGAGCTGGACTGGTTTTGGGATGCGGTAGGGGGAGGGGAGATTTTGAAGCTTGTGAAATCCACATTGATACCATTGGGCTGCAGGGTTCCCAAGTGGAATATGAGTTGCTGTTCCTGCAACCTTCGGGTGGCATCGTTGTGGCACTGCAGGAGGCCCAGGATGGACATGTCGTCTGAGGAATGGGAGGGGGAGTTGAAATGGTTCGCGACTGGGAGGTGCAGTTGTTTATTGCGAACCGAGCGTAGGTGTTCTGCAAAGCGGTCCCCGAGCCTCCGCTTGGTTTCCCCGATGTAGAGGAAGCCACACCGGGTACAGCGGATGCAGTATACCACATTGGCAGATGTGCAGGTGAACATCTGCTTGATGTGGAAAGTCTTCTTGGGGCCTGGGATGGGGGTGAGGGAGGAGGTATGGGAGCAGGTGTAGCACTTCCTGCGGTTGCAGGGAAAAGTGCCGGGTGTGGTGGAGCTGGAGGGGGAGTGTGGAGCGGACAAGGGAGTCACGGAGAGAGTGGTCCCTCCGGAAAGCAGATACGGATGGGGAGGGAAAGATGTCTTTGGTGGTGGGGTCGGATTGCAGATGGTGGAAGTGTCGGAGGATGATGCGTTGGATCCGGAGGTTGGTGGGGTGGTACGTGAGGACGAGGGGGATTCTTTTTTGGTTCTTATTGCGTGGACGGGGTGTGAGGGATGAGTTGCGGGAGATGTGGGAGACACGGTTGAGGGCGTTCTCGACCACTGAGGGGGGGAAGTTACGGTCCTTGAAAAACGAGGACAACTGAGATGTACGGGAGTGGAATGCCTCATCCTGGGAGCAGATGCGGCGGAGGCGAAGGAATTGGGAATAGGGGATAGCATTTTTGCAGGAAGGTGGGTGGGAGGAGGAGTATTCTAGGTAGACTGACCTATCCCCTCCCTAACTCCCCACCTACATTCACCTTTACTGGCCTCATTCCCGCCTCTCCGACCTGTTTGTTTCCTCTCCACCTATCCTCTCCTCTATCCATCTTCTATCCGCCTCCCACTCTCTCCCTATTTATTTCAGAACCCCCTTCCCCTCAGCACTGTTCTAATCTTTTTTTCAATTCAGAATTAACTTGATATTTTAAGTTTACTTTAAAATAGTCCCTTTTAAAATAGTAAACAACAGAATGCCACATGAATGTATTAACCAATAATCTACTGATAATATCAACATTAATTTTTAGATTTAGGTCAAATAACGAATGGGAACAAAGAGAAATGATGAAATGGTCAATTACTCTGGTCGAGGTAAGCAAAAAAATTATTCAAAGGTAGTATCTGTATGACTTCACTAAATACTATGGCATGAGCAATTTATCCATGTTTCATTTAGTCTTACTGGCGTCAAAGAACAAAGAACAAAGAAAATTACAGCACAGGAACAGGCCCTTCGGCCCTTCAAGCCGGCGCTGATCCAGACCCTCTATCTAAATCTGTGGCCTATTTTTCAAGGATCTGTATCCCTCTGCTCCCTACCCATTCATGTGTCTGTCTCGACACATCTTAAATGACGTTATCGTGCCCGCCTCTACCACCTCCGCTGGCAATGCGTTCCAGGCACCCACCACCCTCTGCGTAAAGAACTTACCACGCATATCTCCCTTAAACTTTTCCCCTCTCACCTTGAAATTGTGACCCCTAGTAATTGAGTTCCCAACTCTGGGAAAAAGCTTCTTGCTATCCACCTTGTCTATA